GTTACCTTCATCATAATATCTATTCACACTTGCAACAGCTGCTATTCATCACTTTTAATCATACAGTTACAATTACAAGCAAAGTGCCAAAGCGGTGCACAGTTCCGGCCCGCATACTGCACTCATGCTCGGTATAAGATAACGGTACAATACGCCATTCAACAACTTTGTCTTTTCAAAGCCAACTGGTATTACAAAATTCCAACGTTTACATCTGTCATACCATTGTGGTGTCGAAAAGTGCTGCTGCATTATTTGAGTCCTTAGGAAGTAATCAGAAGTTTTTGGCCTTTTACAGGCTTTAGTTTCTACTAAAATTCTTTTTTACTGACCCGGCCAATCCCGATGAGGCATATATCACTTTAAAGCTCATAAAACGCTGGCTCCAAATCTATAGTTTCTAGCTGCGGAACGGTTCTGTAGAAAGAAGAGGGGTGTTACCTTCTGGGGCTAAGGCGCCCTTCAGCACGTCTCCCCTAACTGTAGTCACTTTAGAGGAGCATCCACTGGCGACAACTGGCATAGTGGTAACTGTCTCAATTGATAGGCAGGAGGTTTGAATCTCATCTCATGCACTCTATGGCAGTTTTGCAAAATATGAATTTGAGTTTGTGAATGGGTTTCGAGCATCGAAACCTAAAATTCCAATATATTGAATGAAAGCTAGAAATTTCAACAGCTTATGTAATTTTTTCGTTGCTGTTCGAACAGTAAAATTTAAAAGTAAAGATAAATTTATTTATGCGCAGATATGGTGGGCTATCACAAAATGTTCAAAATAGAAGAACTTTTCACAATGAGCGCAGCGAATGAAGTGAACTCTCCCGCAGTTATCGGTTTCGCAAGCAGCTACTGAAGATGGCGGAAAACAATACCAAATTTAGTGTTTCAAACTAGCCAGGATGATCTGTCAGATATGCGGATGCACACTATGAATAAGTGATGAAATTTTTGAAAAATGGACTGCAAAATTGTGAATAAACGTGAAACTAGTTTCAATATCCAATCTCTATGATGAAGGGAAAAACTATGTATGTAGGAAACTTAGGAAGAAAACCTCTTATACATGCCTCAAAAGGCAAGAAAAATAAACGTCAAGAGGCTGTAACTGGGCCGTGGTACCGTGCGAAATAGTCTTAATCTTCGAGCGTTTTCCTTCAGGCAGGACGGATAGAATGGCTTCGCAGTCTCTGAAAGAGGTCCAGGAATTCACCAAAAGCATTGCCTCAGGTGGTGAAGAGGGCGACGCTATGCATGTTTTTATAAACTCCAGCAGTAGTTCCTTGCTCATCATGTGCGTGGTATTAGCGCGCACCTCTAGGTGAGCTTGGAAGAAACCTCTATTTGGAAAATTTCTACCCTTCTCCTAATTTCATTGATTTTGCTCGTGCAAAAACCTATGTCTTGTAATTACCTGCAGACTACAAATAACTTCTGCCTCATTTGACCATCAGCAAAAATTGTTGGCATTACTGTAAACGAATGCGTAGTAGCTGCATGCCCTCTGGCGCTAAAGATCTGGCGCAATGCATCTCTGACGAAGTCACTTTGTCAGAGTTACACACTGCGGTTAAAGGCCAATGAGCCAAC